AAACCCCTAACTATACAAGCTGTCATTCTAAGCCCCTTCTGCAGCGCAGGCGGCTCGGCTCCCATTTCTGCTGCCACCTCGGCTCCCTGGAGGATCTCCTCCTGCACATCATATCATACTAAATTGTCTTTTATTATATGATAGTATATTATATATTGTATATGTATTTTATATTACTTTATGTTGCAGTATATATTCTATATACTAGTTGCATATGTTTTATCACACAAGTCTCACAACATTCAAGGGTTTTTGACGAAGTCGCTGATGCTGTTGGGGGGCATTATTTTGGGAACTGGGGCCGTCCTTTCTTGTTTGAAAGTCCTGCGGGTTCAATCAGGTCAATCCTGCCTCAACCAAGCCTTCAAGCTTCATGCTTCTCAAGCCGAACAACAGTTTCATACCAGGTGTCATTTTCGGCCTGCACTCAACTGCCAGCAAACTCTAGGGACTCTAGGGTATTTCGGAGTTCAGGGTGTCCCGGATGCAAGGACAGAACAAGTGTAGGTGAAAGCCCAAGGGAGTTAAATATAATAAAGTGTGAGGAAAGAAGTGAGTGAAACGGAAGCATGTCTTTGCGCTTTTTTACCAGAGCCCCCAGCAAACCATGAAATTACAGGCGTATCTCCTGTAGGTAATATGTTTGCCATGTTGCCTTGACTCCCTCGTGCCTTACCAACGGGAAGACTTGGGCAAAGCCTTCCAAAAAACTCAGAAGTGTGACTTCAAAGAGTTGTGGTGCTCAAACGAAGATCGGCCGTGTACGCTGGCTCCTGCCGTGCGAGCAGAGACAAGGGTCCTGGAACGGGCGGTAGTGGCTTCAGCAGGGGGTTTTGACGAAGCGGGGAGTTCTCTTCCATTTGTGCGCCTNNCATTTCTGGAGCAGCAAATACCATACGACATGCGACTTTCTGCTCTTGTTCATGCTGCTTGTCTTCAGCAGGGGGTTTTGACGAAGCCGGGAGTTCTCTTCCATTTGTGCGCCTGCTTTTTGGCTGACAACAGCATTTCTGGAGCAGCAAATACCATACAACATGCGACTTTCTGCTCTTGTTCATGCTGCTTGTACGCAATTAACACGTGTATGCCGCTACCGCAAGTCGGGCAGCTTGACGGAATCTTTCATGGTGTGCATGTGATACTGCTACGCATTCTGCCTTGTTGCGAGGTACAATACTGCGCTGTCGTTCTTCCTGGCACGATGATCTGAGATTCGAGCTGACCTGACTCTTCTTCGACCCTCCGATACGAGGAGAAACAGACGCCTAGTAAATGGAAGAGAGCGGTAGAAATCTATCCTATGCACCCACGGATGGGCGGGCACCCTAACCCTTAACCCTAAACCCTTATAGATCCCTTATAGAACCCTTGTAGTTCCCATGAAGGAACCCTAAACCCCGCACCCTAAACCTGGGGCCCTCTGGATCACTTGTCGCTTCCCCGGCCTCCGCGTGGCGCCTGGCCGCCACCGCCCCCGTCCATGCCCTGCGCGGCAAGGCTAACCAGGGCTCAGGAGCGACAAGTTACTACTTTTTGGTATATGATAGAATATAAGAATATATAGTGGTATATTACAATAGATAGAATATTACAATATATAGTGGTATGTTACAATATAAGGTTTAGGGTTTATGATAGTATGGTATGTCATAATATGTTTTAACCCACTCCCTGAGAACGAATAGAATCGGAGTTTCCCGCGTTAACGTGGCAGCTGCTGACCTATGGCAGCTCGTTAACGTGTACAACCAAAAACACATCTTGGTGTTATATGTGTTTGCATACGCATATGTAAATAAATGAACAAACCAATAAACACAAATAAGATGAATAAACAGATATAAGAAAACAAGCAAATAAATATTCAAATATATAAATACATGAGCATATATATATATATATATACACATACATACAGAGATAGTATCAATGACTAATACATACAGACATACATACATACATCCATACATACATAAATACATGTTCATATATATTTATAATTATTTATATATAGAAGTAACACATGGCATACATGCACACGCAGCTGTAATGTACATATCGTAGTTTCTTTGCTGAATGCTGGTGCCTTGCATAGGCTGAGATTAGTGCCAACTGGAAACTCTAAAGACATTTGGCCCAAAGCTTACCCATCAATCACCAAACCATCGGCCAAACATCTGCTCTTCTAGCCAATCAAAGCTCCGCCCTGCCTGGCGTGCATCTGGACCTTCAAATTGGGTCGCTGTGAGAGGACTTGTCAGCAAATAACATGAATCAAAATAAACATGGTATGAACAATGCCATTGATATTGGATCCGTACCTAGATCATCCATGTCTTGGCAAGCCTCGAAACCTGGCTTCTTCACTTGCTGTAGGTCCTGTTGAAATTGGCTGGGTACCCTGAAGACGCTTATGTGGCAGACATACCCTTAGGGCCGTTAGGGTTTAGGGTTGTGCTGTCGTGTTGCTTGTTTCTTATGCATGGCTGCAGGTAACTCAGAAAAGCGCCCTAAGCCCTAAACCCTAAACCACCCGGGGCCGCCACATGCTCCATCCTCCACAGCTTGCCTCGCAGATGCGAGGTCTGCCGCCTGAATCTGGAGCTGACGTGGGTCCCTCGCTAGGCGGTTGAAGCCGGTTCGAACCCAAGCCTTCAACCCCGTGTTGTCCCGGCAGCTGCAGAGTGGCAGTAAGTGGTGGTGGTAGCTAGTTGCAGTAGCAGCAGGAGAAGCAATAGTAGTAATGATAGTAGTAGTAGTAGTAGTAGTAGTAGTAGTAGTAATAATAGTAGTAGTAATAGTAGTAGTAATAGTAATAATAGTAGTAATAGTAGTAGTAGTGATAATAGTAGTAATAGTAATA